TATGAGCTGCTCCCCTACGGCCAAACTCTTAATTCGGACCTGTACTGTCAACAATTGGACCGTCTGAAAGAAGCAATCGCCCAGAAGCGGCCAGCTTTGGCCAATAGGAGAGGAATTGTGTTCCATCAAGACAACGCCAGGCCACACACATCGATAGTGACTCGCCAGAAGCTCCGGGAGCTTGGTTGGGAGGTTCTTATGCATCCACCTTATAGTCCGGACCTGGCACCAAGTGATTACCACCTGTTCCTGTCTATGGCGAATGATTTTGCTGGTGAAAAATTCGCCTCAAGAGAAGCTTGTGAAAATCGACTGTCCCAGTTTTTTGCCAATAGGGACGAGGGTTTCTATGAGAGAGGCATAATGAAATTACCTTCAAAATGGCAACAAGTTATCGAACAAAACGATGCATATTTGACCTAAATCGATCATTCTAACTATGCTAAATAAAGCCTTCAATTTAATGCAAAAATAATAGATTTCTTTTTACTACACCTTATATATATCATGATGAAAGAGATAACACGGTGTGTCACATCAATTTGCAAGAGTCTCTCTTTAAATCTCCGCCGTTTCCGTCTATGAATGTCGCGTGAGAAAAAGATGCCTGAAACGCTAAACATAGGGCGATATTCATAGTCCGTTTTTATTTTAAAACTGTCTTAAATAATGTCTTAAAATGCTAATAGTCCTCGGATTGACTCGTTCCTCAGAACATAAAGTATGTTCTCTTTCCATAGAAAGAGAAACATAAAGTGTGTTAAACAAGAAAAGATTCAGTACCAATTTTACGACGCAAAACAGGCCGGTATTCATAATCGATTCTTGCATTTAAGACTGTCTAAAGTACAATCTTAAGCTGTCATAAGTCAATCCGAGGACTGTATTAGCATCTTAAGACATTATTTAAAACAGTTTTAAAATAAAAACGGACTATGAATATCGCCCCATGTTTCACAGTTGGCAATATTTTCCCCTCATGCGACATTCATAGATAGAGACGGTGGAGATTTAGAAAGAGACACTTGCAAACTGAGCACACCATGTGTGCCTTCCAACAAGCGACACAAATGACACAGTATAACATAATGGATCATTACATTCTTGTTAATTGCCAATGTTAAACAAAGATGACATGATCACTGTGTCGCACTGTGTCACTTGTTGGAAGGCACACCATGTTATCCCTTCTATCATGGTATATATCTTAAGCGAAATATGATTCCTGCTGATCTCTGCCTGCGACGTCATAAAGTCTTACAAAATGTTAACCTTTTGTTTGATTCTCACATGTAAAGCGACAGACGATAAGAAATTATATCGGGATATATCATTTCACAGGTAAATTAACGAAAAGTATAAACAAATATTTACTTTAATGTTAATAATAAAACCTAATCCCTATTCATTACGGACAGTGACAGAGAAAAAACCATTCCCCTTTCTATGACCTTATACGATACGTTAATCGGGTTTAATAACATCCATAGTTATGAAATTGGCCAATCGTAGCTGTTCCTCGGAAGAATGTAACGACTGTGATTGGCCAGTTTCATAACTATGGACGTTATTAAACCAAATTAAACGTGCCGTGCAGCACTATTCAGCACAGTTCGCTCGCTCCATTAGTATATGTTCTAAGGATTATAGTACTGAATGCATCCAAGATTACATTTACATGGCATCCTTAAGACCGGATCTACAAAAAAAAAGGTGTTTCAAGCCTTAAGCCGTAACAAATTGCCGTAAATATTAATTATAATCAAATGCTAGGAGAATAATTGATTGTGATTCGTTCATTTCTTATTGCTTAAAGGTTAAAAGTCTATTGTAGACCTGAACTAATCGGATTTAATGATATCCGTAGTTATGAAACTGGTCAATCACAGTCATTCCATTCTTCTTCGAGAAACAGCTATGATTGACCAATTTCGTAACTACGGATGTTATTAAACCTGATGAAGCGTACCATGTAACAGAGGTCAACTGTAGCTATATATTTGTGCCAAAGTAAAAAAATATATAATGTAAAACTAGAGAAATATCATAGTATGTTACGTATACTATAGTATTTCCCTAGTTTTTCGAGTTTTTTTTTTTAAGAATAAAAGCCCAGTAGCGGGATTCTCTAAACGTTTTATCGATGATTGTTGCTATCGTTAACTAGCGACCAATAGCAGGACTATCTGAAAGAAAGCACAATACTTATTGGCTTTTGCTAGTTAACGATAGCGACAATTATTGATAAAACATTTAGAGAATCTCGCAACAGATGTGTAAACAATAATAATTGCATCGTAATATTCAGTCAAATAACCTATTAGTTGTTCAAAAGTCTTTCAATAAACGAATTAGAATACATACTTGTGAATAGGGTTGGGCATACATTAAACATAACGTATTATATATGGGTTTTATACGTATAATACCGTATGTTATACGTATTATACGTACGTTCTACACGTATTATACGTATTGTACATGTAAGAAACTACTCGCAGTTTGAAGCTACTGCCCAACTTTGCTCGTGAGCGCGCATTCGAGAATGGACGATAAACTTCTTTTTTAACTTTTTTTTTATGTCTGACCTTGAATTACCTTGAGTTTCTATGATCATTGTATTTGTCTTGAAGTGATTACACAACACACATAGGTGTTTAAAAATTGATAGTAATTTCATTTAAAGTGGAGAGGACATATCCTTTTAATGTCTCCATCTAGAAAAAAAAATCGACATAACCAAATCATATCCCCTTCAAAATCGTTCCATTTTCATCTGAAATATTTTGTTATCAATATAATTTCAGAGAAAATTGACTGGATTGATTAAAATGGGACACCCTGTATATGTGTATATATATTATATATAAACATAATATAAATTTCTTTGGTCTTTGTTCTATATCTATTTATACATGAAAATTATATATTTCTGGAACATTCTTTTTAAAATAATCAGAGATTGTTGCAGTTACTGTAATCTAACGGATAGTTGAGGTTTGATATATACATAGCTGTTCTAAAGAAGAACTTTTACATACAATATAAATACTTAAAAATTCGAAATATCATAAGTCAAAATTTGAAGTATCATGATCAATATTATTTTAAGTTTAAAATTTAAATATTTTTTTTACCGAAACCTTTTTATGTTACTAATGCATCTATGACAATTTTTGTCAGAAACTGTAACAATCTCATGACTATAACAATATGATTATGTTTTCGAATATATGTGGTTCATTATGAAAAAAGCAACTTATTTTTTAAAACATTATTTTTTAAATGCTAGATCAAATTCGCAATTCAGTTTGAATATCATGTATAGAATTATGCTAATACAATGAAATTGATAATTCTATATTGATCCAACATTAAGAATGTCATGATTTATCAATCATTGATCAGATATAAAATTATATTCCTTTCCATGTTTTAGATATTACTGTCTCCAAATCGAAATTTTAATATACTTATCTAATTTTTTATTCTAAATTCAATGTATATCAAATTTTCTATATTTTATACCTTTTTTCTTTCTTTAAAACAAGTCTGTCCAATTTGAGCTCCGGAGCCAAAACGCAAAGCTATTGATGCAAAATAATTCAACATAAGATTTTAAGAACTACAAAATGTTGATAAGCGTCACTTAGATGCGTATTGTCCTGAAGCATAACAAGAATATTCTATTTCAAGTGATATATAGATATAAAAAAAAATGTAATTGAATAAATAAATCTGTCGTCGAAAAATTTGAAAAATTTTTTTCGCAAAAGATATGTCTTAGACAAAAATCTTTCAAATTTTACATTTAAATACATTTCATTTTATGAAAAATATGATATAGACAATTTGATTATTTAACATCCTTGTATAACTTATTACATTCACATAAATATATCTATAAATATAAATTTTAATTTACTCCATTATATATGTGTGTGCTGATTAATGGATCAATACAATTCGTTGTACTGGCAAGATTCATAAGTTCAAACTGATTTGTGATTTTAATAATACGGACATATTACATCTTGCAAAATTATTCACCATTATTTTGGTTCTTTCAAAGAATAAATTAAAATATATACTAATGTTTGTTGGCGCGCATTCGAGAATGACAATGAACTTTTTTTTTCAACTTTTTTTTATGTCTATGACCTTGAATGACCTTGAATTTCTATAATCATTGTATTTGCTGCAGATAGAAATATACTCATATACAGAATCTTGCATACAAGTATTAAGGGGATGGTGGAGTCGCGAATTATCGATACATTATAGCCGTATAAAACTTTTGAACGACATAAAAATCTCCTTTTACAGGATTGAAGTAGACACAAAACTAAGAGATAGAGTGGTGGACTTTATACTAATTGTAAGATCAAAAAAAAAATTAAAAACTTACATTTTTCAACTCGTAAAGCTGTCACCTGATGTAGACGATTCCTTAATATAAAATTCTATAGCTCATATGAACAAATTGACATTGCACTACCCGTCGGATTACATGAACAAACAATATTAAGTTTATAGAATTAAGATTGGAAGCTTAAAAAGAAAGTTTTAAGCCTAATTTACAATGTGTTTTTTGTTTCCTGTATCTTGCTTTTTATCACTTTTATTTCTCGCCTTTTGTTCAGTTTCTTTACTTTCTATCGCTGGAGATAAAAGTTGACAAACTTTGAAAGAGACAAGAAACACGTGAAAAGAAACGTGATTGTCGATAAAATTTTAAAGAAGGAAAAAGCATAAAATAAGAAATAAGAAACAAGAAGCAAAAAACACATTGTAGGCTTCATATTCAGCTGTAAATTATGTGTATACGTATGTTTAGCGAAGACTCAAAATGGTAAACAGAGCAGTAATTGTGTCTAGCAGTAGGTGCCGGATCTTGCAAAAGATTGCGTTGTAATATGTTAGATAAGGACAGATGTATGCATTTGAGTGAGACAGAGCGATAATGTAAGAAATGAATTAAAGATGCTATTATCAACATTTTTATAATTTAGTATTAAAAACAATTTGTATTATCGACATCAATCAAGTTCGGCCATCACTCCAACATCCCCTTAATAACATATAATAACACATATCTTTCAAATATTAGATCCGAATGAGCACTCATTTAAAAACTACAGCATGTATTTCATATAATTTGTTGGCAAAATATATGTCCAGTGAATTCAACAGATCTACTTTCTGTCCGATGTGTATACATCAAAATATCTAATTTGTTAGAATAATTATTTTGATTTCATTCCTATAGTATTAAAGTACAAATACCACGTTCGTTCAAGAGAACAAAACCATAAGAAAATATTTCAGCGCGTCATAAAATTTCTCTTGTTTATACAACCACGATTTTATGATTGTTACCATTTGGCAAGAGAACATAATAGACACGCTTTCCCTTATCTCATTGAAACTCTTGCATATTAGTATGATACTGACTGTTAGCAAATGAACTATTAACTTGTTCGTTCCGTTCAATAACGCTTTGCATTTCAACAGTCGACTCATTGCTAGATTGCCCATTATTATTTAAATTTCCAGTATTACTAACGTTATTTGTCACTACATTCACATTATTTGTAGAATTCGACTGTTGTTGATGCCCGTTTAAACTATTTTGTGCAGAATTATTATTTTTCGATCTATGTCTAAGTCTATGTGTAGTAAGATATTGTTTTACTGAAAATGCTTTGTGGCATATATCGCATTTATATGGAAATGGATCAGGACAATTTATACCATCCATAACAGCTACCGCATGAGTAGTTAAATGCATTACATAATAATGTTTTACAACAAATGACTTTCCGCAAGTTTCACAGATGTAAGGACCAGATACACCATGCGTTTTTCGATGTTTATGTAGATTATCCTTACGTGAAAAACTTTTACCACACATTTCACATTCGTGCATTTTTTGTCCAGTATGAGAAACCGAATGTCTAACTAAATGTTCTTTACGACTGAATGCTTTTGTACATGTCGTACACACATATGGTCGCTCACCGGTATGTAATTTTCGATGTTGGAAAAGATGTTCTTTCCGTTTAAATGGCTTACTACAAATGTCACAATTAAAAGAATTAACATTAGTTTGCAAGGAATCATCCTTACTTCCGGAATCTGATGGTTCGCTTACAAGTGTCTCAACATTACAATTATGATTGCTCATTTGATTGAATAAAGGAAAGCTTTTACCACAATCACGACAAATAGCGTTTCTTCCACTTTGTGAAAGTCCTTGAGGATTGACAGTGATTAGAGGATTTGGCTCCGATCCTGATCTAAGCCTTAGAAATTCTCTGATCTGTTCAATTGAATTACGAGACATTCCATCATCAGACGACGTTTTTGTCAATTCTTTAAAATCTTTGTCGTCTCGAATCGTCATCAATGGAGTCTCTTTAAAACCTAAATTTAGAAATACTTCTGGCGTTGCTACTGTAGTGTAAGTTTGTACAGTTGGGTTAGGAGATTCATCTTTTTGGGTTTCGGATTGTATCTTTTGTATAATTTGTTGATTCGATTCTATATCCGTTTCAGTTTTGAAAACTATATTATTATTTTGATGTACAACTGGTGTCTCTTGTTTCACTGAAAACTCTTGTTGTGTTATAATTTGCACTTGCTGTTTCTCAAGTTGAAGTTGTCTGTGCTGTTTTTCAAATTCACGTTGTTGCTTCTGTAATTGTTGAAGCTGCTGTGATAGCGGTGATTGATTTTGTACTGATTGACTGATTTGACTTTGACTCTGTTGTTGGACCTGTTGAGATAACTGTGCCGACTGATTCAATTGTTGAGACATTGCTCTTTGGGATTGTACTTGCTGATTTATTTGGTTATGATTCTGTATTTGATTTTGAGTTTGTGTCTGAATTACAGGAGACTGATTTTGTTGATCACTGATTTGATTTTGCGCTTCATTTGATTGTTGTGATACTTGAGAAGTTTGTTGTTGGTAACTGTAATGAGTTTCTGCTGTAGCTTCAACGACAGCTGCTGCCACACCACCTGGTTGCATCTAAACCCAAGAAAAAAATTTTAATACTTCTAATGCAAATAAATAATCTTTAATAGATACAGCAACAAAAAGCTTTGTTATATTTAATATAAAGTTTTATTTATTCATTACAGACCTGCATAGCACATTTGTATTGTTGTACCCTTGCTTGAACACCACTAATAATTTGTATATTAGAAGTATTTATATTGCTAACTACGACAGGTTGCTGATGTATTTGATCTGTTGTTTGTTGATTATTTATTATTTGGCCTCCCACTGGTATTGGTTTATCCAATGACTTTAGAACTTCATCCTCTGGTGTAGACGGTCTTTCCTTTTCAGTATTCTTTACATAAACTTTTCCTTCTTTCAGAAATTCTTCGGAAAAACGAAGTGAAGTGAAATAAGATTCCAACATACCCTCAGCATTGACAACAGTTTCTCGAAATTCTATGAAATTCTCTAGCTTCTTGACGCATTCATGGCATACAATTTTTGGTAATGAATCCTCCTCCATAATCTTCAAAAAATATAAATAATTTTAATTTTTAAAAACAAAAAATTTATTCATTTTTATATATATAATTTATTCTATTTTAGTTTTGGCAATTAGACAAAATTAAATGCTAATTTGTCATATATATTAATAATACACTAGAAATAAATTAATAGATAAATTAATTTATTAAATAATCAGAATTTATATCATTTTAACAATTTGTATAAACAAAATATATTTTTTTAATCTATTAAAATTGACTGTACCAATAACACAACTAAGCTTTTTAGTTAAATGATTTAAATGTAAACAATATTTTAATGTTTTAAAGAAGCATATTAATCAATAATAGTATAATATAAGCTATATAAAAATATATCAACTGATATTAACGATATAATAATATATCTTTATTGAAACGTATCATAGAGAAACAATGCAAATAATTAATAAAATGCTTGTTTATATTATAGCTATATGAAAACTAAACTCTTATATATTAAGTCTTAAACATTAAGTAAAAAAATATACTAATTTTTTTTAAATATATTAAGTCAAAAGATTTTAAAGAAATAAAAAGGAAGTATTCAAATTAATTTAATTAAATATTTAATCATTTATATTAATTATTTAAATTCTGTTCATAAATTTGTTAAACTTCTGCAACACACACACATACAGAGAGAGAGAAAGGAGGGTGGGGGGGGAGGGAGAGGGAGGGAGAGAGAGGGGGAGGGAGAGAGAGAGAGAGAGAGAGAGAGAGGGAGAATAAACTGTGATTTATTATCTTAATTCGTACTGAAACTTTTTTAAATATTCTTTTTACTATACACATATAAATAAATAAATGTATATCATTGTTCTAAAATATAAGACTACAATAACATTGTCATATTTTGAATAAAATGTTCATATATATCATAACTCATAAATATATATTAATAACATGATCTCATAATTAAAAAATTATTCCAATATCACGGTTTTTGTGTAAGAATAATTCACGCCAAGTGAATTAAAATGTAATCTATTAAAGTCCAAAATCTCACACGTATTCTTTGTAGATTTTCCGAACTTTGGAGTCTTGTGTTGCTCATGGCATATGAAATTAACAAGTAGAGTTAAGTGGATTGAGTAATTATCACATTATTACAAAAAAACCAAAAATAGCTCGCGAGTTAAGCATGAATACTCACCTGTATCGGAAGATACGTCTGTATTTTTGTTTGCAATTGTCGTCTACGTCCTTCATCACGAAAAATATTCATCTTGTTACCTTCACTGCTAGTACACAATCGACACAATTCGTAATAGTTCACCTTGCGGTATCCCGACATTATTTTTTCACAATAAACAAATAGCAAATACTGAAAAATCGCACAAAAAGAGAAAGAAGGTTTTCAATTGCGTGACATACACACAAGAGCGATAAACACTAGCACAAAACCACCGCCACCAGCCACCGCCAACGCCACAGGAAGGATAAACCAAGATAGCGATCATGTAACTTTTTCCCTAGGGCGGAAACGTAAAAAGAAAAATTTTTTTGCGATTTTTTTGAAATTTTGATGTGTGCATATATATATGTGCATACTGTAAGAAATAAGCGACATACCCGAGAAAAATATCGGGTCCCCGTTCTTGAAAAGTATCACATACGATAAAACTAAGGAAATGCTATAGTATATGTAACGAATACTATATTACTTCCCTAGCTTTTTGAACGCGATACTTTTCAAGAATAGGGGCCCAGAGACGCAATTCTATAAGGGTGCGATTACATGTAGCGCGGTAAGCGGCATGGGCCAGTGATAAATTTACATTACTAAGCACTTTTAATAGAATTAATTGATTTAAATGCATTTATTAAGTAAATTCGTTGAAAAAATAAGAGTGTTGATAAAATGTGCATAAAAATAAGATAATATATTAAAATAAATTCATAATAAAGATTATTTGTCACTAGCCCGTGCCGCTTACCGTTACATAATAAAGGAGAAAAGAAGCACGGTTTGCGCGGTTCCTATAGTTACCTAGTTAGTTTCTGTACCGCGTATCGCGCTACATGTAATTGCACTCTAAGGGTGAAGTCACACAATGCAGAAAAGGGCTGCAGAATAGAGAATGCGTTATTAAAACAACCAATTAGCGCTCTTCGAAATAACGCAGAATAATACTGATTGGTTACTTATATAACGCATTCTCTATTCCGCAGTTGTTTTCCACATCGAAAAGTGAACGATGTACCGTAAGAAAAATGGACGTTGCTATGTAGTTTACATCCACTTTGTCAGAGGGCAATAGTGCGCAGCAACATTTTGCAATTACAGGTTTTGGGCCGTTATGTCCTCTCTCAGATTTCTCGGGTGGTATGACCTACCATGCAAAGAACGGTATGATGGAACGAAAGCGACATCTCGATCGAACTAATTCAGATTACTTTTGATCACGCTTTTTGACGGCCTCGTCCACAAGGTTGGATTTGATACATATTCTGGAAATTTGATACGTATGATACGTATGAACGCATAGAATACGTAAAATACGGATCAAACTTGTACGATACCTTTAACATAATCCTAACCTCTATTTATTAATCTTATCAGAGAGAAATCTGAGAGAGGACATGCCAGCTCAAAATCTGTAACCGCAAAATGCTACCGCGCATTACTGCCCCCTGACAAGGTGATGTAAACTACATAGCTCTAATGGTAATACGTCTACTTTTCTGAAAGTAATACGTCTTTTCAACTCCAGATGATAAATCGATACTACTCATACAATCGTGCTTCATTCACAAATTGTGCATCAGAAATATTCATCTCTGCAATCTTACATGTACGTAATGTTTATTTTTCTTAAAAGTATTAACATTAAGATTATATTATTATAGGACGGGTGATCTTCATGCGGAGTGAGGAGATTCCGCACGCGCGAACGGAGAAGGCGGATAGATTGCGAGCGGAGGGCAGTGTAGAGTTGACCGGCATTGAGTTCAAACAGTTTTTCTTTTGTTACAACGCGAAAGAAGAGTATTTCGGAAATTACGTGCGCGATCAATTCTACATAGTAGGGGCTTGTCCGGGATGCGATCGGCCCGCGTGTGGTTTTCAAACGTGTGAAACAGTCATATTTATAAGACGAAGTCTCCAAGACAAAGATGAAGACGTTAAGACGAAGACGTCGAGACGAAGACGCGGAGATGAAGATGCTAAAACGAAGACGTCAAGACGAAGACGCCAAGACGAAGACGCCAAAACGAAGACACTAAGGCAAAGACGCGAAGACGAAAATGCCAAGACGAGGATACTAAATGAAAAAGTAAGGATGGAAATGTTGAGACATAAGAGCCGAAATATGTTAATCAATGAGTGTCGTGAAATTCGGAAATTTACAAACTGCACCAAGATGGCGGACAAAACGGCGGAACAAGTCAAGGAATCGCCGCCATGTCTATAGACGAGTTAAAGCGGAAACTCGAAGAATTGGGACTTGACATCGAGGGAAGTAAAGCAGTGCTAAAGGAGAAACTACGTTGACGAAGGAAGCTGAAGAGAATGATAGTGACGATAAAGGCGAAAGAATAAGAGAGACAAAAGTGTTAGTGTCGACGCATTAACTATAGCTGAACTGAAAGCGCGTCTGCGGAATTTGGGCCTTAAGGTGAATGGCGACAAAAAGATGTTGCGAACGCGACTTAAGGAAGCTCTTAATAAAGATAGCAGTGAAGCCGAGGACGAAAATGACGACAGCGACACGGAAGAAGAGGACGCAAGAAAGCAACTCGCACGACATGATATGGGTGGCACGCGCGGACGAATCGGAAGTAGACGGCGCAGTCCCGATTCACCAGAACATCATCAGCAGCCAATATTTACATTCAAAGACGTTGAAGACGCGTTCGAAACTTTTAGTGGAGACAACAGTGAAAGTGTAAAGTTCGAGAACTTCGAAGAAATGAGATTATGTAATTGGATTGAGGTACAGAGAACAATACGCCAAACGATTCCTGTGGAGATCCGCGAAAATATTTGTCGGCTTTGAGGTTAAGGTAATTAACTGAAAAAAGTTCAAGAAAAGCATTACAGACGAATTTTCCAGAACGCTTAATAGCAAACATGTTCATCAAAAGCTCATGCGATCTAAGATGAAACAGAATGAGATATGCGTTCCAAGCATATGTGTACCGGATGTTGGAAATAGCCACAGATAGCGAGCTTGATGCCTTGATATAGTAATAATAGACAGTATACCAAACAACGAAACAAGCAAATCAATTTTATATGGCGCATCGACAATAAAAGAGTTGAGGCAAAGGCTACAAAACACAGAAAGACAACGCCAAACCAAAGACGATGAGGAGTCAATTGAATAATACGCCTAAGCAAACTAATCAAACACCGACAAGTGAAAACTCAAAGAGATGCTTTAACTGCGGAAATAAGGATCATCTGAGCGCAAGTTGTCCTGACAAAACAAAAGGAACAAAATGTTTCAAGTGCGGGAATTTCGGTCATGTATCGATTAAGTGTACGAACGCCGATAAAAACAAAGTCGTTGGAGGCGCGAAAACTGCTCGAGTAGACGCGGTTAAATCGAACGATAAAAAGACATATAAAATGATTACGATTTGCAGTAAAAATGTGACGGCGATTATTGACTCAGGAAGTGACTTACATTTGATTCGCTTTAGTTTATACAAACGGTTTATACAAACGCACCAGAGTTAGAGAAAATCTCAGTTCCATTTGACGGTATCGGATCGACGAACAATCCCATATTGGGTCGATTCAAAACAAATGTAACTATCGACGGATTGTGCATTCACACTTGACATAGTTTCTGACGATCTCATTAGTCACGATCTGATAATTGGTGGTGAGCTATCAGACCATGCTGAGGTCAAGTTAAAGAAAAGACAGTTGACGCTCATCAAAATAGATAACACAAGTGATGGACAACGAAATGAAAATCAGCCTGAAATTGAATCCGTAAACACCTGGAAAGAAGTATTAAAAATAGATGTTGCCAAGGAAGACGAGAAGGAGAAAGCAGATGAAGTATTAGTCGCGCATGTGACAAATCCAGAAGTTAAAGAAGAGTAAACTAATCAAAAGCTATCAACCGATAGCTAACAGAAGTCAAAATGCATGACGGACAACATTCCTGTTCATCAAAGTCTACGACGACTATCAACCGAGCAGAAGGATATAGTCAATGAGATTATAGACGATTGAATAAGAGAAGGTATTGCGAGATCAAGCACGTCAGATTATGCTAGTCCGATCGTTCTAGTATCAAAGAACTGAGGGTCTAGATTATGTGTAGACTATCACAGGTTGAACCAAAAGATTCTATAATAGAATAGAATAGATTCTATAATATAATAGAATAGAATAGATTTCCCTTGCCGTTGATCAAGGACCTGCTGGACCTGCTAAACTTCAAGACGCAGTTGTATTCAGTATCCTTGATCTGCGTAATGGTTTCTTCCATGTACCCATCGAGGAGGAGAGTATCAAATATCGTTTATAGTGCCCGACGGACAATTCGAATTTCTCAGAGTCCCATTTGGCTTATCGAATTCCCCAGCAGTTTTCCAGAGACACATCAGAATGGTATTCAGACAGCTGATCACAGATGGGATAGAACTAGTCTATTTAGACGACTTAATAATTTCTGCAAAAAACGAAGAAGAAATGTAAAGAAGGTATTGGTGACAATCATGGAGCACGGCTTTGAGGTGAATTGGAAGAGGTGTAAGTTATTAGTCAGGCAAGTTGAATTCCTAGGATTTAAGATCGCAGCAAGATAGATACAATCCTCTGACGAGAGAATTCAAGCAGTGGCACAATTTCCCAAACCCAACAACTGCAAAGTTTCTTTGGATTCTCCAGTTATTTTCGCAAGTTTTTACCATGATTTGCCCTGATGGTAAGGCCTTTGACACAGTTACTGAAAGGAAACAATAGATTCAAATTTGAGCATGCTCAAGAAACGGTGTTAGAGAAGTTAAAACGTGCTCTAACAGAGGAACTCGCGTTGAATCTGTACCGTAGCAGAAACGAAGTTCCACACAAATGCTCGTATGAAAGGACTAGGAGCATTCTAATACAGAGAAATTCTGAAGATGGATTATTGCACCCAATTTACTACGCTAGCTGGAAGACACTAACAGTGGAAAGAAAATATACCAGCTACGAGATTGGAGATATTCGCTGTTATAAAGCTCTGAAGAAGTTTCGAATTTATTTACGGAACGCCATTTAAGATCGTGACAGATTGCAAAACCTTTGCAATGACGACGAAGAAGAAAAACATCTGCTTACGTGTAGCCCGCTGAGCACTTCTAATTAAAGAATTTTAATACACCATCGAACATCGATTCGGATCATTGATGCGGCACGTCATTGCCTTAAGCAGGAACCCAATAGAGAT